GTTTCTTTTGGACGTCAGTTTATATGGTGTATAGATGCACCCAAAAACGAATAATAATAGGTAATCGTAGTGCAAAAAGATCTGATCACTCCACTCTCACTGAGCCTGCACTTAAGTATAACAACTACGCCGACTGTTTCCCAGTGTCCAATAGAAATGTCAAAGACTCTGGAAAAACACCAACTCCGCACCATGGTAGACCATATTAACTTGTGAGTAAATGTATTTTTTGTGTCCTATCTGTTTCTTACTTTCCTGTTCTTTCATTCCTTTCTTGTTACAGAATATACCGTGTACACAACATACTCTTACCTATCGAGATCACATGCAAAATTATGACATTGCAAGATCAGATAATGGTTGACAATATAAAAATAATCAGCACAAATTGCAAAGACCTGAACAACAACAAAAATCGTATAGATGTTTTTTCAAAATTTGAAAAAGCAAAAAGCAAATATATATTGCCTGCAGGACACCCATTTCACTAAGAACATAGAAAATAAAATTAAACAAGAATGGGGATCAAAACATTGTATATTTAGTTGTTATAAAAGTAACACCCGAGGGGTAGCTATCATGTTTGAAGAAAACTTTGATTTTAAAATATTAGAAGAAGTCCATGATAATGAATTTGGTAACCTTCTTGCTCTTAAAATGCAATTAAGAGAGAAAACATTTACTTTAATCAACCTGTACGGCCCAAATACCGACACACCAGCATTCTCCGAAAAAACAATAGATATTGTCACTGAGTTTGAGTCGGATCTCTGCTCCATCTGTGGAGATTGGAATTTTATCCAGAACCCAGACATTGATTTGAATAACTATAGAGACGTAAACAACCCAAACGCCAGAGAACAAATATTAGATTTCATAGATGAACAATCCTTTTTTGACCCTTGGAGAGATATGAACCCAGACGAGAGACGATGTACGTGGAGACAAACCAAACCCATAAAACAAGCCAGATTAGATTACTTCTTGTTGTCAAGAGACACTGAAAAATCCGTAGATAAAGTTGGTATAGACCCTGCTTACAGTTCAGATCACTCTATACATTGGATCTCGTTAAAACTAAATTGTATCGAGAGAGGAAGAGGCTATTGGATGTTTTATCATAATAATTCCCTACTAAACGACAAAACTTTTGTTGAAAAAACTAAAGAGGCAATTAAAAATACAATAGACAATACAATACTTTTTTTCGAAACACTAATGTTGATGATAAGAGGTCAAACTATAAAATACTCCCCGGAAAGGAAACGAAAGCGAGAACAGAAAGAAAACGACTTACAAAAACATATCGAAGCATTGCAAATCAATCTAGACACCTCAAAGCATATAGAAATTAAAAACGAAATACTAAAGAAACGTACAGAGGCAAACACTGAACTGGAAGAAATAAATAACATAAAAACAGAAGGAATAATCCTGCGATCTCGGGAGCATGGAGAGAAAAGGGAGAAAAGCCAACAAAATACTTCTCATCCTTAGAAAAAAAGAACTATCTGAATAAGACAATAGCTAAACTAGAAACAAAGAATGGACATACCATAACTGAAACAAAAGATATCGTAAACGAAATCAAGAGATATTACGAACAGTTGTACACATAACAGACATGTAGAAACGTAGACCTAGATAATATGTTTAAAGACCTTAATATTCCAAAACTAAGCACACCACAACAATCAGGCCTCGAAGGTGAGTTACAATTTGAGGAAGTTTTAGAAACTTAAAAATAAGAAAAATGAAAAAAGTCCGGGTCCTGATGGATTTACTGTAGAATTCTACATATTTTTCTGGCTAGATCTGCATAAATACCTGATACGATCATTGAATCTAGGTTTCAAAAGAGGAGAATTATCAGTTAGACAAAAGCAGGGTCTAATAACATGCATTCCAAAAAAAAAGATAAACCAAAGCAGCACTTAAAAAATTGGAGACCAATTTCGCTATTAGATGTTTCTTATAACATAGCATCAGCAACAATAGCAAATAGAATTAAAAAAGTTCTGCCAACAATAACTAACGAAGATCAAAGAGGTTTTATGTCAAAACGATACATTGAAGAATGCATTAGATTAATTTATGACATTATGGACTTTACTGAATGCATGGAAATCCCAGGGTTGTTGTGACTTATAGACTTCGATTCAGTAGACTGGGTTTTCATCCAAGAAGCCTTGACTTTTTTTAATTTTGACCTTCAGTTAAGCACTGGATAACAACATTCTATCACGATATAAAATCTAGTGTTTAAGTTAACGGTTTTGCTTCAGACTTTTTTAAAGAAACAAGAGGATGTAGACAGGGTGACCCGTTATCTCCTTATATATTTTTGTTATGCGCAGAAATTTTGGCAATAATGCTACGCACTAATAAAAATATAAATGGAATTAAGATCGATGAGATAGAATATCTAATATCCCAATTCGCAGACGACACATCTCTCATATTAGATGGAACTGAAATTGTCTCCAAAACACCATGACAACTCTTCAAACAAATGCGTCTTTTTCAGGCCTAAAAATTAACACAAGCAAAACGCAAGTGTTGTGGGTTGGCTTACAACGCTTCTCTGATAAAACTATGTGCAAAAGATGGAACTTAGATTGGTCAAGAAAAAGTTTTACTCTTCTCGGTATTATTTTTACTAACAATTTGGCAGAAATGGTAGAAAGAAATTACAAAGACAAACTTAAAAGTTTAAAAATCATCATGAACTCTTGGTTAGCACGTGACCTGACCCCATTAGGTAGAATAACTGTACAAAAGTCTTATTTTACCTAAACTAACCCACCTTTTCTCAACCCTACCTAATCCAAGTGAAGGGTTTATAAAAGAACTCGAAACACTGTGTTTTCGTTTTATATGGAAAAATAAACCAGACAAAATCAGTAGAAATACTATGATGAAACCTTATGAAGAGGGAGGTTTAAAAGTGCCTGATATTAAAAATACAATCAACGCTCAAAAGAAATCTTGGATTAAACGCTTGTTCAATTCACATCCACACTCTAAACTTACCACTCTTTTGATTAATAATTTAACTCCAACACACATTGATTTTCTGCAAAAATGCAAATTCTATATTTTGGAAAAGGTTATTAATGATAGGACCAATGCTTTCTGGAAAGAAAAAAAGGAAATTCTATCAAAGAGGAAAAAGATATATTACCACAACCTTTATGGCAAAATACGAATATAAGAATCGGGAACACTCCGGTATACTATAAACATTACCTGGGAAAAGGCATTAATCTTGTAAATGATTTGATAGACGAGAACGGAAATTTTCTAGATCTTTTAGACCTAAAACATGTATACGACTGTAAAACACATTTTCTGGAATATTCTAGTCTTATCCAAGCAATAAAACTATATTTAAAGCGTAAGAGTATAGCCCTAACATCTAAGTTACATCTGCCCTTAATACCATATTTCCTTGAAAACTTAGAAGAGAGGTGGGGATGTAGGGTGTTTTATGATATCTTAAATAAAGTATCCAACAACATGATATCCCCAAAATACATTCAGAGATGGGAACTAGATCTTGGCCTTAACATGACGGAAAAAGATTGGCAAACGATTAATCGTAGCCCCCACAGGTATAATGTGTCCTCAAAACAAAAATGGTTCCAATACAGTATTATTCATAGAATTATATCAACAAACGAGTTACTGTACAAAATGGGATATAAAGAATCATTTCTTTGCATTTTTTGTAAACGAGAAAAACAAACCTTAGTGCACATGTTCTTTGAGTGCAAAATTGTAAAACATATCTGGAACAACATTACAAAATGGATCAAAGACAAAACTGGAATAGAACTAGAATTTTCAAAATTGACAATTTTATTAGGATATCAACAAAAACGAAATGATGTATTAAATCATATTCTAACTGTAACAAAGCAAAACATATTCAAATTAAACTTTTCCGAATCCATACCAAATTTCCCACACATCAAACAAGAAATAACCGATTCATATCACATCGACAGAAATATATCATATTCACAATGTAAATACACACAGTTCATGACATTTTGGTCTCTCTGTCACCACCTATTCGTTTAAAACCACGAACTTGCACAATCCAACAATATGACACTGGAATAGTTTTTGTTTGTCATCATCTATAGATATACTTTATAACTTGTATGTATTTAAGATTGCATGTGAACTATATTCCGTAAACATATTGTCTGTGTACTCCAAAACGAAATAAAATATATATAGAATTTTTTTTAAAAAGGTACCTGCCTAACACTTTTCAGCTGAAAATCCTGTGATTGTAGTTCAATTTATAGCAAAACATATATATTCCTGGATTTCAGTAAATTACTTGATGTTTCGTAAAACATTAACCTCAAATAAAAAAAACCAAAACATCCCTCAAGCAGTCAGCAAGTTTTAAAATTCTGTAGCTCCAGGTGAATAGGGAGAGAGTGAGTATGATTGTACGCCGTTTTTAGAAATATTCCAGTAATATCACGGCGGGGCACAACAGAAATGGGCTTCACACAATGTACCCATGTCGGGAATCAAACCCGGTTCTTCGGCGTGACGATCGAACGGTTTACCACTAGGCTACCCCACCGCCCCTCCAGGTGAATAGGGAAGAAGGTACCAGATTAATTGTAATTCCGTAAAATGGATTTAATTGTTTCTCTCACATTAACAACAAATGGTACTTTTATAATAGTGGTCTTTCAAAAAGACATAATAAATACCGAAGTTATTTAATACTTTACACCAGATTATCCGTTGATGTAAAGACTGTTAATAGACGTATTTCCCTTATTTCATTGACACTTCGTCTTGTTGTCGAAAGAAGCGTCATCAAAATGCGTTAAAAAACTCGTTAAACAACAAACAATCTAATGCAGTGTCACGTACATATATAGAGGTTATCACGCTTGTGTGTTTGGGGATGGTAAACATCCTGTATTTGGAATAAACATTGTATTTAGCGAGCTGAATACATAGTTTGTTTTTCCTGACACAGGGTATTTACCATCCCCAAACACACAAGCGTGATAACCTTTTGATCATATAATATCATTCTTCAATTCTGTGCTCGAAAAATCTCTTCCCATTTCTCACAAACATTACCTTAACATTGAAAGTTTTCCTGGAATGTGCGGATATATATATTTAACGTCAGAAGGTAAGTTGTGTGTCAGTCGGACAGTGACAACAATCAACAGCGTAACTACATAGACGCAAACAACAGTTGCCTACACAAATTGTTTCTGCTTGCCTATCGCGGCAATCCATCGGTCTGGCCAATAGAGTAAGGGCCCTTTATCAAAGGGAATCTACTCTAACCCAAGTCTATGAGACGTCACGTCTGCCTTTCCTGTCATAACATCACGAAATGCAGTCAGATGTACACACAGCGACAAAAGGAAACAAGGTTACAATTCGGACATATAGAACCAAGGTAACAATTCGGACATATAAAATCTAACAGTTTTAGTTTGGGGAAAAGGTTCCTAGCCGCAAGGTCTACAAGCACAGATATGGAAACTGATCCCGCTAGGCAAGAGTCCTGGCTAAATTGTTTTTCAATTTATATCTCCAAATTTGCTAAAACTTGTAAAATACCTTAGCTACACCACAGTAAGACACTGATTTTCAGTATATCAGACTATTCTATTGACAATGATAACAATATCCCAGTAGTTTCTCCAGATTCCCGATGGTTAATTCTGACTCGATCGCGGATTGACACGGACGACGCCATGTTTGTAAACACTGAAAGTAGTCCCTACTTGACCTTTGATATATGCATCTTTATCCACATATGACCCCATGTATAATGGGTTTCACAAGCCATTCGATATTGTTCAAGTGAAATGCTTATATCAAGAGGCGAGTTGAACCTCGATGCTTACCCTGTATAGGCGTTAAAGAACATGTTTTTGTGTGTGAAATTCTCAAGTGTGCAACTCTATTGGACGCACGTTTAGAATCTAAACAACGTCGTCTTACCATTTCGTCCAGATCTATAGCCCTGTGGGGATTTCATGTCAGAATAGTATTCCATTACTGTAACATCGGAGTGTTGTCAGGCTTTGTGACCTGGCTAAATTGGGGTCATTGTTCATTGCTCTTGCTTTCAATCACTGGTTTGCCTTGTCCAGATTCGAGATTAACACAGATCATATCCATAGTAGACACTATCTAGACACTAGAGGAGACTGTCACAAGGTATCACAGATCATCACCATGGTACCCCGTCCTGATCGTCTCCATAGTAGACCCAGCCTAGATCAGAGGAGACTGTGTCAGTTCAACATAGATCGTTTCCATAGTAGGCCCAGCCTAGATCAGAGGAGACTGTCAGTTCAACATAGATCATCCCCATAGCAGACCCAGCCTAGATCAGAGAAGACTGTGTCAGTTCAACATAGATCGTTTCCATAGTAGACCCAGCCTAGATCAGAGGAGACTGTGTCAGTTCAACATAGATCGTTTCCATAGTAGGCCCAGCCTAGATCAGAGGAGACTGTCAGTTCAACATAGATCGTTTCCATAGTAGACCCAGCCTAGTTCAGAGGAGACTGTGTCAGTTCAACATAGATCGTCTCCATAGTAGACCCAGCCTAGATCAGAGGATACTGTGTCAGTTCAACATAGATCGTTTCCATAGTAGACCCAGCCTAGATCAGAGGAGACTGTGTCAGTGGGTTGAGGTCGGGGGAGGAGTTCACACTCTCGAGTTCCTCTGTTGTAGTTGACACCGACACAGGCTCCAGACAACATACACTGAAGGACACAGGACAATGGGGACATGTCAGGTGAAGATACAATGACAGGGGAGACAAGTCGTATGCCTGATCTTCGGAAATAGTTGAACTGCTGACAGGCTGAAATGAATAAACATAGTAGTGAGTGAGTATGGTGTTACGCCGCTTTTAGCAATATTCCAGCAATATCACGGCGGGGGACCCCAGAAATGGGCTTCACACATTGTACCCATGTGGAAAATCGAACCCGGGTCTTCGGCGCGACGAGCGAACGCTTTAACTATTAGGCTACCCCACCGCCCCAGTAAACATTATAGAAACATAGAATCTTAATTATATGTTTACTGTCAGGAGTGTACTATTTAACCTCTTTTGTGTTTCATAAAACTATAGAGACGGAGTTTTTGAATACGTAACTGTGCAATATGACTCACTTTGTGAAATGTGGAAAATGTGAAACATTGATCATAAATCTCAAGCAGGAATCCATGCATATAGATGTATTATGACGTTTTTAAGGCAGGAATCATTGAACATCAATCACGTTTTTTTCGTGAAGCATTTTATGTCTTTATCTTTTCCAATTACCATAATTTTCAATGGCTATTTATTGTGTGACTTATTTATATAGGCCGTCCTACCTGACTGGACTCCATACACTTCAAGTTCACAGAAGTTGAGAACATCCGGTCCGTTTCTGATTTTCGGTTTCCACAGTCTGATGAACCTTCCAAACACCGGAGCATCACATGCTATGTTCCCCACGGAACCAAACGTGCCAGTGTAGTTCTTACAGATGAAGAAAGCTGCTGGTGGACATCGCGATGGATTTTGTACATACACCTGGATTACAAAGTCATGGAGTCTTTCCCCTGAAAAAATAACATTAAAATAATAAACACAGTACTATAATTGTATTTGGCATAAAACATTCAGCTTCAAGCATAATTATACAAAAACAGTGCTTAAGATGAATACATATGTACATGCCATGTGATGTGGCATGTCTTACAGTAGCTTTGTATATTCAAGCATCTACAGAAACATCTGTATGGTCGACTGATAATAATTTGACGATGATAATAATTTGAATGAAATATGAATTGTGGATGAAGGTTGACGCAGAGCAGAAGTAGTTTGAGATACCGTAACGTACCACAGCAGTCTCCCCTGTTGTAGATGGTGACGTTGTGGACACTGTACTGCGCCAGGAGATCCACAACAAACCAGGGCGACATGTCACCAGGTTTAGTGTGACTGCAGACACTGTCGCGTATATCGGTTCCATGGCTGCCGTCCACAGCATTAGCAGCGATTTCGTGTAAACCCTTCACGCTGCTCATCCATGCTGGTTTCTTCAGAGCCAGATTCAAACTTTGGAATTTGCAGACTGAAAATTGAGATTCTAAGTCATATATTTGTATCGACATGTTTTATGTTTTGTAAAATGTGTATCTGCAGTTGTCAGGGGCACACACCTGCACATTCGCCTTCATAATATTGACAACATGCAGTATCACCCTCTTTACATTACTTTTCTTTGTGACTTAGGATGTTCACGAGATTAGTTTAAAAGGGAAAATGAGTGACATTACGTGAGGAATAACCATTTCCCTGCATTTCAATGCATCGTATCTTTTTCGTAATCTTTAGAAATAACGTCCATAAACAGAGAGGGTATGTTTTGAAGCAGGACATGTGCTCGCCTGAGACTGGTTCTGCTCCAGTATGAGTACCATCTGTGCAGCCTATTATCTTCTCTACTGCCCTGACATGGCTAAAGTCATACTGATTCGAAGAGAAAGCGTTAGATATCTAAAAAGCTTCTGTCTCTTATTATATGGATACAAACCTTCATTTGCTGTACAAAATGTATCCGAAGTATAGCCTATAAACCTATTACTAACGAATTTAACAAACAATTAGGCCTCACCATCCAAATATATGACGAGTAGAAAAGAGATCCGGGAGTAGAGGTCTGCCATACTGTCGCTGATCAATTCTATAACCAACAAGGCTGATGTGTTTAAGAAACTGAAGACTTGAAAATGACAATGTTCAATATTGATTGAAAACCCCTGACAGTACGCAGGCCCAAGAGAACGGTTTTTTCCGTACCTCTTTGTGGGTTGCTGCAGAAACACCAGTCACAGTGACTTTAGTAGCCTGCAGTGTCATATCGCTGCGCCCTGGATGTTCCGGAAGGTTATCACTTAATCATGCTGGTGTTTGTTGTCTGGGGACTGATGCTTCCACAATGATGGATTGTTGTGTTCCCTAACTTCGATCGTAAAATGTCTTTTTCAGATGTAATCGATTTCGGTTGAGAAATGTATCCCAGTGGTATACCTACACTTGTACACATGGTTTCTGTACCCCTGGCCGTCTTGTACTTGTCCTTCAAAACCCCTCATGAAACAGTTATTGATCTGTTATATACTGACCAACAAAGCAAGGGATCATGAAGGGGATATGTTTTGGAGTGAAGAACACACAATTTCATAAAGATATCTAAAAATATATTCATGATCCCTAACATGTTTGGTCAGTATATATCCGTGTCCGGCTAAAGACGTTTCATTTAACAATGAAACACCACAGACAGTACAGATACCGATATACTGAGAAGTGCTCAGTCGTTGATGTACCGTTTTCATGTTTATTGCAGAACTGCTGTTCTGCGTTGGGCAACAAAGACTTACTTTCATATGCAAATGGTGTGTCGGGTGCCGGTGTGTTTATCTCCATTCTACCATGACTAAATAAAACGCGAACTCTTTGTTGTTAGCAAATATACTGAGTGAAGCGGCATGGGTTGAGTTCAGTGTTTTGAGTGGGTTATCGATCTGAATTACGGAATCACCGAACAAAATATGGTGCTGTGTATACCCAAGCAGTTTGTTTACACTGTAATACTTCACTCGAACATATGACAGGCATTGAAAGCATATAAGCACGGCAGCTTAGTAAGCTAACATGAGGTGGGCATCCCTAAAGAAAACAAAGCACGCTTTGCAAGGCTTTCGCTCTACATCGCGCGTCATCATTATGACGTCATATCGCTTATTGTGACGCAAAAGATATGACGTCACAGTCGTATATAGAAAAGCGCCAAAATTCCAAGCTCTCTGTTGTCTCCAAAACGTAAATAGATTCCCTTTGTTGACTTCTATCGTGTTTTTCTGCACGAAATGTATTGCCACACATCCTTTGAATATTGTAGTAACCTCATCTGCATTTTGTAACCTGTAACTGTAGATATAGTTATTGAAATATGCCTACCGACAATGACTGAAAATAATACTATTCTATGAATATTAGCTTCCGCGGTGATGCGGCAGTCAAACCAGATGTTTCAATCAGAGGGGGTTTATTGTGATTTAATAGCCTCTGCTTGACTAATCAGAATCAAGTAAATTCCAAATTCACGGTAGAATCACTTTTTATATGGGTGATTACCTCCCATGAGCAGACGGGTGTGTTTCAAATTCAACGAGGATATAATAGAAGATCAACATTGTGGCACAGATGTACATCAAGAAGAACTTATCTAGTGTTATGGGAATATCTTAAGAAGCATGGAAAGGTCGGATCGATAGGTTTGTGCACCCTAGAGGCCACGGGCGTGTAGAAATATGTTTTCCCTACACCCCTGCGTCAAACTGGGCGGAGGGGACAGCTATGGCGCACAGGATTTTGTAGTATAAAACTGCTTTCATCACAATGTGGAGTATAGGATCGGTCACTGCATCACTTAATGTCTACATTGGATTTTGTGCCACTAATATAACAGGTTGTAAAGGTGATGTATGTAGGAATGTACAGGACAAGGGAATCTTGCTTACATGTCCAAAACTGAACCGTACCCACGAAGTTAGGAGACATCCGTTTGTTTCATTGATAATGTTTGCCGGTGACATAGAATTGAACCCGGGACCGACTGATGGAGACTTCAGGATTAGAATTAGCCATCATAAATCAGATTAAGGAATCAGACGACAGGTTATCAAGAGACATAGATCTTTGAGAGAAGAAGTGCATTCAATCAAGGCAGAGGTATCTGAACTGAGAACAGGAGTCAGTATAAACAGAGAAGAACAGGCCGATCTCAGACTAGATGTGTCTAACAAAGTGGATGAACTGTATTACTTGACTGACAGTATTAGTGACCCAGGAAAGATAGAGCAGAAGAAATAATTTTAATGTAAATGGGTAACAGAGGGACTAGAGGAGTGGGCAAGGAAAAGGTACAATACATTTTTAAAAGAGCCAGAGATAAGAATCCAAGAGCAATTTGCCGATGGAGGCATAGAACGTGTGTCGAGCAAAATTATTAACGCCCCCAACAAGGACATAGACGGGAAGGCTCCCACACAGGACCACGACTTCTGAGTTCTGGCCTCAAGGCTTGGGACAGGGGAGTAACCCGCTTGGGGGGAGACGAGACGTATAATACTTGATGTTTCGTAATACATTAACCTCAAATATAGCAATATTCCAGCTATATCACGGCGGGGCACACCAGAAATGGGCTTCACACATTGTACCAATGTCGGGAATCAAACCCGGGTCTTCGGCGTGACGAGCGAACAGTTAACCACTAGGCTACCCCACCGCCCCTACAGGTGAATAGGGAAGAAGGTACCAGATTAATTCCGTTTTTGGATTTAATTGTGTCTCTCACATTAACAACAAATGGTACTTTTACAATAATGGACTCTCAAATATACATAAAAAATACCGAGGTTATTTAATACTTTACACCAGATTATCCGTTGATATAAAGACAGTTATAAGGTATTTCCCTTATTTCATTGACACTTCGTCTTGTTGTCGAAAGAAGCGTCATCAAAATGCGTTAAAAAACTCCGTAAAACAACAAACATTTTAATGCAGTGTCACGTACATAGAGGTTATCACGCTTGTGTGTTTGGGGATGGTTAACATCCTGTATTTGGAAAAACATTGTATTTAGCCGAGATGAATACATAGTTTGTTTTTCCTGACACAGGGTATATGCTATCCCCGAACACACAAGCGTGATAACCTTTTTATCTTATGATGTCATTCTTCGATTCTATATACATCTATATATATTTATGTCTGAGCACACAGTTTCGTAAAATATACCCCCCCCCCCCCCCCCCCCCCCCCTTAATATTCACGCTCCCTAACTCTTTTTGTTCGGTATATTAGCTCGAATAGTGCTGAAATGATTCATGTCTGTTCATTTTCCATTCAAATGAATCTAAGGACCATTCGATTCCAATCTCTGCCGCTAAACAAAGATCTGAGGACATCCCATTACGGGTCAGAACGACCTTTCGCGAACTTTGACCGACCACTGAAATGACAAACAAGAAGTCGACATCAGCCAATTAGAAAGCAATTTTCTCAAGCTTTACGGCACTCGTTTCAACCTGGCGACTTCCATTTCAGACTAGCTTGAAAAATATGTTGACACAGTTCTCGATTAAAATTTTGAAAACTGAACAAACGAACATTCCGGAATGTCTACTATATGGTTGAGATTGTATGACAGTGCTTCCTACGTACGGTGCAACGCCTCCTTTGTTCAGATGTTTATCCCTCGGAAGCAGAGATAGACGATGATTTTGACGGAATCAGTCGTACGGGCCGTAACTGTCGTTCGGAATACACAGTGTTAACGCTTTCGAGGTTGCATGATTAGAAAACGCATTCCGACTCACTTTCATGATCTGGTAAGCCACGCTTTGATTGGTCGGATGAAAGGTCGTTCTTACGTGACCCGTAATGGAATGTCTTCAGATCTTTGTTTAGCGATAGCGAGAACTAAGTTCTGATTTTAAGGAGATTGATTGGATTCTTCATATTACTATAGTTAATCTGTCGTACTATGTCAGATTAACTTTAGTAATGTGACGGAATGGGGTGATCCTTAACCTATTTTGAGTGGTATAGATTAAACATGTTATTAATGTATGGTTTAATGGCCACAACTTGTTTGGAAGTAATACGTCTGTCATGGTGCTCTCGTCATGTGTTTATGTTGGGCAAAGATGTTTGCACACTCAACTGTGACGTCACGATGAGCGTAGTTAGCCTAAACAATTACAGTTAATAAAACTGTGTTTAGACGTGTCACTTTGTTCACCAGAATACACACCGAAGAAAGCGGCATACCTGTTTTTGCACCTTCTAATCCATGATTATTCATTATGCAAGTCTATCATCAAACCATGCAAGTCTTTGATTCACTTTGGTTACGTTACGTGGCAAACCACTACTGTGTAAGAAGTATGATTTTTCTGAAAAGATAAATTTATGGAAACAAACATTTTTTGTGATGTTACAGTGTGTTCTTTGAATATGCCTGCTCTTTCTTAGAGAAACTTGGATCGGGCAATTCGCAGCCGTGTTAAGTTGGAATCAATTCATTCAACTATTTTTTAATTTATAAACAAGCCAAATTGTTTACTGCCACACTCTGCAATTTTCCAGACCAGACAAACCAGTGATCGACGTCATGAGCCTCGATCTACGCAATTGGGATACGATGACATGCATCATCAATCAAGTCAGCAAGCCTGACCACCCGGTCCCGTAAGTCGCCCTTTACGGCAAGCATGGGTTGCTGAAGACCTATTCTACCCCGGATCTGCACGGGTCATTCAATGAGTATTGTGAAGACGGTAGCAATAAATAATTAATTAATGACATTGGTTGATCAGTGGTTGATATAAGGGTAACGCTATTTTTCAGGGCATTATCATTTGCATAAGCCCGAGGTCTTCCATTAACTTCCCGACTGTTAAAATGGATAGAATTTATTATCAAATAAAAATAAATACAGGTTATCACGCGAGTGTGTTTGGGGATGGTGAATATCCTGCATTAGGAATTAACATTGTATTTAGCGAGCCTTGGGTAAGTGATGTGTCAGTCGGACAGTGACAGTAGCCAATATAGTTCCAACTGAAATCTGTTTCTGTAGTGTTTGTTTCCTAATAAGTCGATTAGCCGATTTT